GGGGGGGGTTTTAAGACTCGATCTCGCTTTTGTTTCAAAGATAGACATGCTACTGCACATGCAGAAGTACATATTCAGTAGCAAGCGAAACTGAGAACCTGGTGATATTCTTGTCACAATTCAGAAAGGTTAATAGTCCCCACTAGCCCCTTGAACCCGAAGAATTCTTTAATTACGTGGTTCCTTTCTGTGATGAATTTTTCTTTTGAAAAAATTGGGGATTCATGTTATTGGAGTAGAAAGTGCAAAGGAAACATCATGGGAAGAAACGAATTAAAGGGACAGTCTGATTGCTAATCTGTGTATGTGATGGCTGCAATTGCTGGGCAAGCGAGGTCTTTTCTGTAAAGGTAAACAGGTGCCTTAGATATAGGCCTGGCCATTTGTGAGAGGAAAAGCTCAGTGTAGGGGTCACAGCAGCTATGTAACTGCATCTATTTTGGAGTCGAGTTCCTGGTAAGGATGTGTGTGTGCAGTTGTATATGAACTTTTTAGAAATTAAGGCACTATTTTTTCCAAAATATATTGCACCTTTCTGGCTTGGCATGGGGTATTTGAAATCCTGCATTTGTTTGCTCTAGTTGGTGTGCATCTCTTATCATCTGCCTATTGTTTGATATCAATGGGCTAAATTCTGCTTCCAGATATGCATGTGACTCCCCTCGAAACGGAGAACTCTTGAGGGTTAATAGGGACTGCGTGAGCATAGCCGAAGGTAGAATTTAGTGAGAATAATGTGAGAATCATTTCACCATCCCAATTTTTTCCCTTGGATGCTGTCTATCCTGTTGTAAAACTTGCTCTCATCTTCTTATTGTTCAAGAAAGGTTCTCTGCCTGTCTAAAGACCTCTTGCAATGTTTGCAATGCTTATGGCTTCTATGGGGCTTTCCATTATCACCTTTTTTGTGCAACTTGATAGTTTCTATGAATTCTTCACATTTTATAGTTTCTTAGAATATGGATGCTCTCTACTTCCAGCATCTTTGAAATACCGACTCCTTAGCAGACACATCACTGCATCTTAGGATGAAGGTATGATTGTTACAGGGGCTGCAGAATCATAAGCCTTCTGTCTTTTTGTGATACAATGATAAGAAAATGGATTAAATATTAAATGGACAGGTGCTTTGAGAGTTTCATTGAATTCCTAAGTAAAACATACTGGTTATTTAAAACAGAAATGAAAGCTCTTTTCCAGGCTAGATCCCAGTTTGACCCAAGGTCACTTTTGAGGTCATTGGATTTGTATATTGGGTTTGGCTGGTTTCCTCTCCATCCCTTGTGCCAGATTCCAGTTTCTCATATACTGGCTTTGTTGTTCATTTACACTTAGGCTTCTTTAGGCTCCCAGAGTAAATCACTTTAAGACCCACCCCTTTACACCATAAGAGCAGTACATAAAGGCATTAGTATAAATTAAATTAGATCCATGGCCATATGACCTGTAGTGATATAGTCTGCATGTATCTATCTGACTGAAGTGTGTTTAATTTATCTATTATTTATGTTTTATTTATTCAGGAGAATTAAGTTCCCTAACCTTGGTGAGAGCCGTTCTTCACTCTGCTGGTGACATGCAGTATATGGTACCATCACAGCACTTTAAAGCACTTTACTTTTTCTAAGTAATTAATCCTTGGGACATCCCAGGTGGACAAATACTATCACTTTCATTGTATAGATGGGAAAACTGGGGCCAAGTCAAGTAAAGTGTTTTACCAAGGATACAGAAAGAATGGGTATCAGAGCTGGGAGCAAAGTTGTGTGTGCCCACCACCCAGGCTTGATTTCAGGCCACCCAGGTGAGGCTCTCTGTCTCTGTGCAATGTTAATTTGTCTTCTCTGGGTGCCCCTGGCTGTCCAGCTCAGACGATCTTTGTCCTCTCCATCTCCCACCACCTTGTTCTTCAGTAAGTCCTCACTCATATTCTCTCAGTGGATATGGAAACTACCTGAGATAGCAGTAATGGGCCTCTTCTCTCTGGACCTCATCTCACTGGCATTCATCCCCTGCTCCTCTGTGTGATGATCACTGACTAGTCCATAGTGCTGAATCCCAAAAGACAGATTCCTGCTCATCTTTGGGTACGTCAGGGCGATCCACCCTGGTCTCTGCCAACTTGGAAGAGACGGTCATAAACTTGTTTCCAGCTGTGGGTATATTGAATGGCAGGAAGCAGAACAGCCAAGCAAACGAGTTGTTGTTTTTTTTAAATAGGACCTTGTGGTGATCTGTTATCACCCTTATAGTAGAGGCTAGGAACCACTTCCATAGACTATGGTGCTAGGTATTGTACAAACGCAGAGTAAGACACAGCCTTGATTGGCCTGATCCAAGGCTTGGATTTCTATTGCAGGTGGCTCAGGAGCACGGAGAAGGGTCAGCACTGTAATCCGAGTTATCCGGGGCTGAGGATGTAGTAAGTCTATTGACGATAGTGGTGTTGTTCCAAATTGACACATCGCAGACGAGATGAGTGCGGCCCAAAATGGCAATGTGCGTCTCCCCAGCACATTTCTTTAGCAAATTGCATTTTTTGTTTCACTGCTGTTTTTAAGCTGAGTTTTTGCAGCTACATCGCACAGCCCTGCAGGGACCCGGTGAGGTTTCTGTGCTGAGATGATGCCTCACTTTACATACTTGTCTCAGAGGGGAAAGTGACTATGATGGCATTTCAGCATATATTTCATATTGTTCCATGCGAATAACAGGATCTGATGATTGAAATCTAATACCTGGGAACCAAAATGAATTGTTTGCCTTCTCGTGAAATGCTGTGCCTCTGTGCTTCCTTCTCATTTGCACACACACACACACGTGCGTGCATGCACACACACACTCTCACCGGGGCTTCATAATACAGCAAATTGCTTATACACATGTAAGCAAATATCTTCTCAAATTATCTCTTATCACCAAATGGGGTGTGATGCTTGTTGTTCAAGGGGCTGAGGTTGCCTTTCAATCTGCCGGGGCCGGCCTGACACCAAAAATAAACAGCATAAGCCTGGAACGGTTGTCGCAAGGGGCAGAAAGAACTTGTCA